TTGCCACCAGGAATTTTATTTATTAATCTACTAGTGGCTAATGCAAATTTTGTAGGGGTATACCTGACCAGGTAACACTTGCCAATGAGTGGAATCCAAATGATGAGAGGGTTCCTGACAAGGAATAGAATAACACAAAAGAAATGAAGTCACTCACCTGTGTCACAATCGAACTGGGGCTTGTACAATAGCCACAGATGGTAGCCAAAATCCATTCAAGAAGGAAACCATTAAATCGTGTAAATAGTGTGATATAAATTGTTAAATGTGGTCCACATACCAGCCTATATAATTTTCTCTAGTGAGTGAAGCAACCACGCTGCAAGGGACATATATATATATATGTCGACATTGATGAGATGAGACCCAAAGAAGTCTCCCCTCCTCCAATGAAAGCCCAGAGTAAGCCATATGAATCAATTTACGAAAACAGCTTGTCAAAGTGACAGAATAAGTCATGTGACACAATAGGATCCCAATGAATAAACAATTGGTGACTTATGCCATGAAATGCTTGAGCGTATCTCACTGGAGAGTACAAACTGGGCATAAAAAGTATCCAGATCCAAACAGTCATATAAATATAAAATGGAGGGAAAATAAACAAAAGAGAAAGTCTTATTTCCTTCTCTTGCTGCTGAAGTTTTGGGTAAAGAAGCCCTGTCTGAACAACATAAGTGGAATGGTAAAGAATCCTGTGAACATGAAATGTAAACACCTCAGAACTTTGAATGCTGAATGGACTGTGTTAATAAGAACACAACCTGAGAAGTCAATCGTTTATGTCATGAAATGGACCTCATAAAAGTCACACATGAAATCGAAGAATGCTGACTGCTGGATAAAAAAATGGCTGACTGAGGTTGATGTAAGAGAGAATGGCCAGAGAGGAAGAAGTGGACACTCCTGAAGATACTGGAGGAGTAGAAACCAAAGCTGACCTGGCCAATGTGGTGCCACCAGAAGAACTCAACAGGACGTGGAGTGAATCAGTACACAAACCTTGGATAACATATGGATTGGAGAGAATGTATAAAAATGAAAACATTTCCAATCCTGGCTAACAGCATCTATGCCCAAAGCCAGGGGGTGGTGTACAGGAGACCAGAAGGACAGAAGCTGAGCATTCCAGTGTGTGTGGCAAAAGCATCAATCTGAGGTGTACCAAAACAAGTGCAGATCCAATGAAAAACTTGAGTATGATACATCCATTCTATGGGAAGAGCTATGTTTGGATGAGATAACTGGTTGGCTACTAAATTCATTACACCTGAAACATGACAAGCAAGGAAAATGATTTGATGTTTGTGTGGTCAAAAGAGAAGATCCAATGTTCAAAAGCAGAGAGATCTGGACAGAGTGCTCCTTGGCTTTGAAATGTATGAGACTACTGTAGAACTCTCTAAATGAAGCATTACCACCTCCCCTTGCAACAATTTGATACCCTGACTCATAGGTTGTTGAACTGCTAGAAGTTCTGATAGATTGATCTGAAGAGAAGTTTCCTCTTCTGTCCAAAGGACTTTGAATTCCATATTCTCTATACAAGTGTCCCAGCCCTGAAAAGAAGCATTTGTGGAAAGATGTATCTCTGGATGTGGAGGCAGTAGAGGGACACCGTTTGTCATGTTGTCCCTGTCCAACCACCAGCAAAGATCTTGCAAACTGAAAGCCAACAGGACCAGCAGATAATCCAATGTATCTGTGCATTTGTTCCACTGGTGGGTCTGCATGTGAGCCCAACCTAAAGGAATCAGTGATTCCAAGAATGCCCTTATTCCCAAAAGAGGTAGAACTGCACTTGCTGGTGGAGAAGGAGGCAACTGTATTTGACGAACTACTCTTTCCATGGCCAGAAGGTATAAAGGAGAAGGTTGGGCCCGACTTAGTCTGGAATTAAAAAACATCCTTAAATGGACGAGGAACTTTGGGAGAGTAAGAACAGACTTCTCTTTTTTGATAATAAACCCAGCTATTGCAACTTCTGATCAGACTTTGAGTGTGAAGTTCTGCCAGGTGGTGGGAAGAAGCCAGTCATCCATGTAATGGTGAGTGTGAATGTCCAATGAGTGAAGGTAATGTGAAAAGGATCTGAAAATCTGGCAAAAAACATATGGGGCAGATATGGAGGAGCACAAAACTGATAAACCTGGTTGTCGTGCATGAAACGGAGATAACCCCATGAAGACTCTGTGATCAGAATATGGAGGTAGGCATCGGCAACATCGAATTTTGTCATCCATATACCAGGTAAAAAGAGCCACTGACGGGAAGTAAATGACTCCATTGTAAACCAAGGAGGCTGTAGGAAACAACTGAGATGAGAAAGGTCGATGATATATTGCCAGTCACCCGTCTTTTTCGGTACTACAAACAGTTGGAAATAAAAACCCAGAAGAAAGGAGTCAATGCACTCTATGGTCTTTTAGTGTTGAATATCCTGAATGGCTTAAACATGGTGGCTGGATGTAAGAGGGTCTTTGGGGAGTGGAAAGCCAACAGGTATGAGAGACAATGGAGAAGGAGAGGTGAAATGAATGACCATCATCTCTTGAGAGCTTGAATGACCCACTAATCTGTGGCAAAGGTCTCCCATACTGACACATACCCTCTGAGTCGAGATCACACAGACCTGACCATACAAGAGAGTCACTGACGCTGTAATTTGCACTCCACCCTAGAGGAGGATACCCACTGGTAACCTCTGAATCATCCTTGTGTTCCAATGGATCATGGTGCCAAGACCAGAGGTTTGGAAACTCAAGTGGGAGATGTAGGAAGCCATCCTGTAGAAGACCTTTGGGAAAGTCATGAAAGGGAAGAGTGGAGACAGGCCACATCCACTCAAGATTCCATGAAATCAGGAATACCAGCATAAATTGACTGTCTGAGAAAAGATAAAGTGTTTATGAAGTGTATTACATACATTTTTTTCATATTATGAAAATATTTATAATGTACTGTAGTGAATATTTTAGAAACAAGTGGTTATTTATTATTCATATCGTAAATGAGCATTATCCCACCTGAACTCACCAGACTTCAAACAAAATTGGTCAGTAGGGATTACAAACAAAATTTATCAGCATGTTATTTTTCATGTAGTCTACCTTCTTTAATACATACTACTGAACATTTTCTAGAAGATCAAGGTTTCCTGCAAAAAGGAGATTCGTTCTGTACCATTTACTGAATGACTGATTGTTCTAAAATGATGCTTAATAAAAAAAGGTTCATAGAGTCAATAACGAGACTGATAAAAAGGGGGGGGGGGATATTCTAAACAATCACTCCATGTGGACTTGCACATGATCAGTATTGTGGTTATGGAAGCTTGGCTCATTTTTGTATACAGGAGAACCGAAGATCCTTCACAGCCTGGACTGCACTGAATGGGCTGCTATTCCTCTGCAACATGTCCAATAGGGTTCAACTCAAGAGATATCACTGGCAAATCCATCCTCTTGAACACGTGTTCAAGATAAGCAGTGATAGTCCTTGCTCATTGTGGGTGGCCATTGTCATTAACCAAACTGAAATTTGACCAAATTGCATTACTAGATGAAGAATTTCATCTTAATACCCAACTGCAGCTAGGGTACTGTTTTAGATGGCATGGAGATCTATCCTTCTGTATATGCTGATTCCAGCCTCCACCATGACAAATCATCCTCCATATCTGTTCTATAACATGTTTTGACAAGAAATGTTCACCACATTGTCTCCAGACTCTGGTTTGCTTCTCAGTATACTAAAGACAGAATCTGGATTTATCAGCAAAGAAAATTGATATACAACCATTGAAATTCCATATAATGTAACCTCAACCCAATCTCAAGTATTCTTGGATGTGCCAGGGTATCAGAAGTATGTTGGTTAAGGCTTTGCTGGATCTCACACCAGACTCATAAAGCGATTGGTTGGTTGGTTGGTTGGTTGG